TTTCTTTCTTTCTTTCTTTCTTTCTTTCTTTCTTTCTTTCTTTCTTTCTTTCTTTCTTTCTTTCTTTCTTTCTTTCCCTCCTTCCTTCCTTCTTTTTTTCCTTTCCTTTCCTTTCCTTTCCTTTCCTTTCCTTTCCTTTCCTTTTTAAAATATTTCTTGCTGGTCTCTTTGCTGTATCTCTCATCAATGACCAAAATCAGAAGGATTTAAAAAAAAAAACACCACCTTCTGTTTTTATGTTCAAACATCTGGAAAACCACACATGGAAATAGTTGGTGATCTGGGGAGGGGGCAGCTGGCAGGAAAACCCCTTAGGATCCCCTTAGGATAGGTGTAACAAAAAGTCTGGGAAGGTGGCCTAGCGGTCAAAGGATCGGTCCCCGAAGTAGAGATCGTGTGGTCTCCTCACGAGTAAATTCAAGCGGAAAGAAAGAGAAAAGCTAAGAAGAATCGGGTTTTTATTTCTTCTTTTCCCCGGCTTTTCTGCGTTGGGAAATAGAGGCCGTACACAGCTTTGAGGCCGGTTAAATTTATTTGATCTGGATGGGAGGGGGGGTGTCATTGGTACCCCTGCTTTGCCCCCCCCCCGTCCTCCTAAGCCCTCCCGAACCCTTTTTAATTTCGCAGACATTCAGAGGAGTTGTTGGTTTTAACAGAGGGCATTTTTTCCCTATGCATTTTTTTCCCCTCTCCTCTCCCTCAGTTTGTCTCTCTTTCCAGTGGCCTATTGTTCGCGTTTTTTTAAAAATCACTTCTTCCTTCTATTAATAAAGGGGTCCTCTATTTCCTCTCCTTCTTTTAAGTTTTCCTCAGCCCTCGGTGTGATCTAGCCAACCTCGAACACGATTTATAAGTCAAACCCCAACCAAGTTTCTATTTCTTCTCCCAGAGAAGAATCCTACAGGCGTTGAATCCAGATTTCTGGGTTGTTGTTTTTTTCCCCTTTTATTTTTAAATCGAGACAAAGGGGTCATCTGTAATAATCGCCCTCCTCCTCCTCCTCCTCCTCCTCCTCGTAATATCGCATTTTCGGCACAGATCCTAACTCGGGATATTTCCGTGTACAAGGCGCTCAATAGAATAGGGAGTACCTGTCTTGAAAATGGCCAGAATGAACCCGCAGGTGGTATAGAAAGAGTTGGGTGTTTTTTTTTTTTTTTTTTAAATAAAACAACTTGCAGTGGGAAACCGGCTTATTGTTTTAAGCCTTCTTCAAGGTTTATAAAGCAAAATTTATATAAAGCAAAATTCAAGGTTTATAAAGCAAAATTTATTCACTGTGTTTAGGAAACACAGTGTAATTCTCTCGGATTCAATATATATCTTGCAATATAAAGCAAAATTCCTTTCGAGGTTTGGACTGATCACAAAAATTTAGAAGCCCTCAAAGGAGATAGATGGATGGATGGATGGATGGATGGATGGATGGATAGATAGATAGATAGATAGATGATAGATAGATGATAGATGATAGATAGATAGATAGATAGATAGATAGATAGATAGATAGATAGATAGATAGATAGATA